GGGATGCTCTAGGCAAGAATACTGGAGTGGTTTGCCATTTCCTTCTCTAACTAGGTGCACTATCTCTGTGCAGACAAGGATCTGCAGGATGGCAATAAAATACCCCTCCTTAAACGCTGAATTGAAACTGCTTTCCCATCCATCATATTTTGCAAATTGTTCCCTCAAATATTGAGAACAACTCAAAGTAGGACTCCATAGAGTTACTGTAAATTGCTTATATTAGTGTTAGTATTAGGGGTCTTGTAAACCTTTCTGTGTTGCCTGTGAGTCAAAGGATTTCTCTGTTGTTGTTCGCTTTGAAAGTGATAGTCACTCAGTTGTGTCTGACTCTTTGCGACCCCATGGACTGTAGCACACCAGGCTTCTCTGTCCATGGAATTCTCCAGGCAAGAATGTTGGACTGGGTAGTCATTTCTCCAAGGGATCTTCCCGACCCAGGGATCAAACCCAGGTCTCCTGCATTGCAAGCAGATTTTTTACTGTCTGAGCCATTCGATTTAGCCATTCCCTTCTGTTGGATGTTCACAGGCCAAAGGAGTGGTGGTCAGAGCCTGAACTCTGAAGTTACTTACACCCCTGGTTCCTACCCTGACTCTAGCGTTCAGCTGCCTTGAGCAAGTTACTTGACCTCAGAGTCCATTGCTAAATGGGAAATTTGGGACCTGGTTGCTAAACCATAGGTAGCTTGAAATTGGCTATTAGTGGCCATTTCCATCATGGAAATCAGCAGATGTTAAAAATCAAGTTGTTGTTGTTTTTTTTCTAGGAGAGCTGGTTTACCAGCATACTTATGTGTCCATTTTCCCATCTGTACAGTGGATTTCATAGAGTTGTGGAACTAAATATAAAAAAGCATATATATAATAAAATATTATATTATATATATATGTATAAATATATGTAAAGTCCCCAGTACAGTGCCTGGCATAACTGAGTATAATGGTTATCTGTTATCTTTTCCACCTTTTTCCTATTATAAATAGAGCTGCTTTGAACATCCCTACACAGGTCACTTTTGGGGTGAGGTCTTCCAAATAGAACAGATTATGGATCACACATGGTTTTAGGGTGCTGTTGCATATGTGCAGATTGCACCCCAAAAAGACTGGGATACCAGTTTTAGGGGTACCAGTGGAGTGTACCTCTTTCAGAGTAATACATTTTAAGGCTGATGAAATGTGGTTAGGTCGCTGATAGAAAGATCAGTAGCTAAAAATCACGGATTGGTGTTAAATGTCTGGCTTCTAGGAGCCTGATTTCTTTATGATTTTTAGGGTTAACGTCTGTCTCTGGGTAGGAAAGGACAAACAAGCCTCTGCCAGTTTGGTCATCACCACCCAGCAGTGAGAAAAGGGGAATGTGGGCCCCGAGGCAAAGGCACGGGGAAGCCAGCCAAGTGATCCAGGGGACCCTGGACTGAACTTTTTTTTTTTTTTTTTTCTTTTTTGGTGATTCTAAATTATTTTCCTAAAGTGGCTGTCCAAATTGTATAAGCATCTGGCCCCTCAAAAACTCGATCCATCCCTGCTGAACCGTGACTCGGACCTGGCTGCAGTCCTGCCTCCCAGCTCCTTTTACTTCAAACCTTTTCCATTTTTCCACAAAATCTCATTGGAGACCATGTCTTTAAACTGAGGTTTGGCACTCCCAACCCTTAATTCCAAGTTTCGAAGTGTGATTCAAAGTGTGAATGTTCTCCTTTCTGAGGTTTCTCAAAGTGTGTTCATGAACCACAAGGGGTTGGGGGTGGTCTGATAAAATGCAGCTTTCCAGGCCATGACCCAGACCCCTCCTCTCTCTGATTCTGTCTTGGGCACCCAAGGTGGGAGGGAGTGTTGGCTGCATTTTTGACAAGCGCTCAGTTGATTCTTAGGCTACTGAAGTGTGAGGAACCCTGGATGATTCCCCGCACCCACCCTGCCCCCCACAGTGACTTGTGATGTTGATGGTACCTGGGATGCTCCTCACTTGAAAAAAAAAAGCCAAAGCCATAGCTTTCCACCACCCCATGTGACCAGACCAGGACTGAACGACCGGGGGAATTTCCCCACCCAGCCCGGAGCCTGTTATACATTATCCCATTAAACCTCTGGGACCAGCTGCAGATTTATTGCTGGGCTTAAGTTTTTATTTAAAGATGACAGTTGACATAACAATTTAATGTCTTTGTTATAACAACCCGACAGCAGGACTGGCTTGGCTGCTGGGGGAAATTTTCCCTGCAGAACATCACTGGGCTGGCCTGTGGATTCAGAGAGAAGGAAGGAGACAGAGAGGATGGGCTGGGAGAGGGGCATCATTTATACATGCATGTTCCATGATGGCTGAGTCCTCAGTGCCAACTCTGAACATGGGCACGGGCAGCTTGTGGACTGGTGGGTGCCAGGTGCTCGGGGTGCTTTACTTGTCTTCACAGACTTTGTATTGGAACCGATGTGGTTTTTTCCCCCTCACTGTTAGAAATTGTGGAAACTAGGCAGGTGCTGGGCTGGGCCATGTCCTCCGGTTTCCTGGGTGAACTGAGTCACTTCCCTCCCTGGGGTTGAGTAATCCCCTTGGGCTCCTGCTGCTGGGCTTTGGGAACTTGCTGTTTAAATTGCACTAAATTTACTCCTACCCGTTTCTTCTGCTTCCCGCAGATAGCTCTCCAGGGCAGCAACCTCGGGGGTGGCAGTAGGGGGCAGAGGGGCCCGCGTGGGCGACAGCAGCGGCTCCCCGATAAGAGCTGTCAGGAGGCATCCACTGGGGCGAAACAGTGCCTTGCAGGCTTCCGGGGACCAGTTTCCCTCCCAAGCAAGTACCCTGCTCTCGAGGGCCCCGCCCAGGGCCTGTGCTTCGGTGCTGCTGCCCCTCATCTGGGGTGCGCTCAGGTACCCCCGCATCTGGCCTACCTTCTCTCCTGGTCCCCTCTCCTCTGTCCTGTGTCCTCCCAGAAGGCCAGGAGACTCGCTTTCCCAGACCTCCTGCCTCCCTCCCTCTCGGCACCAGAGACACACCCTCTTGTCTCTGCTTGGATCATGCAGAGACCGCCAAGGGACAGAGACAGTCTGGAGCCTCCCATTTGAGAAGGACTCAGAGCCCTGACCCGAGCCCGGAGCTGCTGGTGTGACCTCACGCAGTATCCATTTTGTCCTCTTAGCTCACCTGTACTAACATTGAGAGTGAGTGTGACGTGCTGGCTTTTCTTTTCCCTTCCCTGCCTCCCTGTTGCCTTGCTTCACCTCCTTCCTTCCTTTTTTCCTCCTTTCTTTCTCTCCCTCTCCAATCAGGACATTAAAAGCCAACAATACCATCATCAACCGTCTTTCAGTTCAATTCAGTTGGTCAGTCGTGTCCGACTCTCTGCGACCCCATGAACCGCAGCACGCCAGGCCTCCCTGTCCATCACCAATTCCCGGAGCCCACCCAAACTCATGTCCAGGGTGTCAGTGATGCCATCTAACCATCTCATCCTCTGTCATCCCCTTCTCCTCCCGCCTTCAATCTTTCCCAGCATCAGGGTCTTTTCAAATGAGTCCGCTCTTTGCATCAGGTGGCCAAAATATTGGAGTTTCAGCTTCAACATCAGTCCCTCCAATGAACACCCAGGACTGATTTCCTTTAGGATGGACTGGTTTTATCATCCCACAAATGAAGGATGTTTCAACACCCCCAGTAGTAGGAAAGATACAATCTCATGTAAAGAACTGTCCTGATATCAAGAATCTTCTAGAGGCTGTTGCTTCTAGTGAGAGGCTCTGGGTCATTGAGGGACAGGGAAGATAGGAAGACCTGTCCCACTGTAGCTCTTGTCTTTTGTACCATGTAAATAAATGTATTTATTTACTTAAAGAAGACAACCCCAGGCTGCCTTTACTTGGTCAATACAGCTCACTTGGTAAATATTTCCTCCTGCTCATTCTCATTCCTTCATGGATCAGTGAAGAAAACTTCATGCAGTGTGTGGCAAGGCAGGCAGTGGATATCAGGGAATGCCTGGCCTTATCTTCTCTGTCAATTTTAAGTTCCCTGAGAAGAAGGGCCTGCCTTTTTTTTTTTTTTTTGCATTACATTCATTTTATTTATTTTTTTCATTTATTTTTATTAGTTGGAGGCTAATTACTTTACAAAATTGTAGTGGTTTTTGTCATACATTGACATGAATCAGCCATGGATTTACATGTGTTCNTCTTTGTACAACCATCACCCTCCTTTCTGCCTTGCCCTCCGCCCCAACAATCTATCAGAAAACTGTTATCACTATAAATCTATACATGAATGCCAAGCACTGTGGACCCTGAGGGAGACACAATTCTTACTCTCAATAAATATACAGTCTGTCCTACAGACACTGGAGGGGAAAAGTTGATATTTGCCCCAGTGTAGGGGCCGGGGTCGGGGGTGGGCCTTTGCTGGTGGCTCAGTTGGTAAAGAATCTGCCTGTAATGCAGGAGACCAGAGTTCGATCCGCGAGTCAGGAAGATCCTCTGGAGAAGGAAATGGCAGCCCACTCCAGTATTCTTGCCTGGAGAGTCCCAGGGACAGAGGAGCCTGGAGGGCTATGGTATGTGGTCTCGAGTCGGACTCCAGGGGAGAGTGAGGAACATTTCTGCATGCATGTCTGGTCCCTGACGCTGGGAAAGACTGAAGGCAGAAAGAGAAGGGGGCGACAGAATGAGATGGTTGGACCACACTACCGACTCAATGGACGTGAGTTTGAGCCACCTTCGGGAGACAGTGATGGACAGGGAAGCCTGGCGATCCACAGGGGTCGCCAAGAGTTGGACGCGACTGAGTGACTGAACAATAACTGGTTCCGGAGGAAGCACAGGGGCTTCTGGAAAGTGAGAAAAAAATGCTGTCAGGGTCTTTACTTTCACCTCCAGAACTGGGCTCTTGGGGAGTTTTTATTTTTTCTGGGCTTTTGCCTAGAAAGTGAGGACTCTAGGAGGCTACAAATAACAGTCTGGCGTTCTTATTTCCTTCCCTCTGGTAGAAACTGGAAACCAGTGGCCATCTGTTGTTTAGTCCACTCAAAAGAGGATGTTGAGGCTTGTTTTTCCTCCGGACCCAAGGGTGCTCAGGAGCCCCGTAGCCCCTGCCTGTCTTGTACAACGCGTCTCTGAGAAGACGGCGGAGTGTGGGGCTGCGTGGACGTCCCCAGGCGGACCCCAGGGCATGGCACGTAAGCAGGGTCCCCATCCCTGGAGCTGATATGCCCTCCATTCAGCCATCGCTGGGTGCTGGCAGGCAAAGTAGGGTCAGGGGTGTGTGGTACAGTCACAGGTACACAGGGGGCCTTTTTGGGGGTCGCCGAGCACTTGACTTTTTTTTTTGAGGCTTCAGACCTCGTGGGAAAACGCCAATGAGGCCTTTTCTGAGCTGACCTCTCCAGCCTGTGGGCCTGCTCTGCTTTCTGTTAGTATGATTATTTCAAAACGTTTTTATTTTTATTTTCTGCTAATGGCAGTTCACGCAAACCTTCCCACCAAGGGAATTGCATGCCTGAAGGGTCATTATTCTCAGAAGCTAGATACTGGAGCTGATAAACACTTAAGGAATATTTAGATAGAGGGTTTCCATGACCCAGTTTCTCTGGAGCCCTCCATGGATCACCAATTTTAAAAACAGATTCTCTGCTTCTAAGTTGGGATGACTTTTTAAAAAATGTAATGTTTGGCGTGATGTAGGTGATACAAAGTTTTGAATAAGTTTTGTGGGGTGTGTACTTTCCCTGCGTATTTTAAAGGAGTCTGGGGTGTGTGTGTGTGTGTGTTTGTGTGTGTTATCAACCACTTTAGAATTGACAGCTAACTTTTTTGCCTTTTCCTGGGCTTGAATGTTTATTTTTAAAAAATAAGCTGTGCATTTGAGGGGGTGCCTTTGACAAACCCTTTGAGGATGTCAGTTGACTCTGCTGTTGAGGAAGCTGGATATTGAGATTTTACTAAAATCTTTGGCTTGGGGAAATTGTCTCAGGATCATTACTCAGACCTTCCTGTAGACTAATAGCAAGAATCTGTACTGTAAGCATTCAGTTGTGATGAACGTTAGAGATGCCTTTTGAATGTGGATTTCCAAGGAATTAATGTCTGGAGAAGGTCTCTGGCAGATACGACATCATAGCATCTATAAATAACGCATCACAGAATGTGCTACAGGCAACCTTCCTCAGGCCTCTGCACCTGGATGTGGCACTGGTTTTGCAGTAACAGCTTTTACTGAAGTCAGAGACTGCACAGAACAGCGCCAACGTAAATGAAAGCATATGCCCATTGTATTTATGTGCTCGATGATTCTGGCCCAGTCGTGTGTGGGATTTTGTCTGTGAGGAGTTAGACTCTTAGTTTCACCGTCTTCTCCCACATAATTGTTACCATTCTTTTCAAGGCTGGCATGTTCTGGCCTCTGTGAGGGTGAAGATCAGCAGATATAAAAAATAAAGATGGCAGTCAAGCCAGTGGCAAATGGTGTGTTGTGCTTTGGAGCCAAGGCTACCTAGGCTTGGACCATGAGTCCCCATTTTCAAAGCTGGGTGACTCTTGCAAATTAGTGTGCCTCAGTTTCCTCATCTGTGAAGTGGGAATAATCTTAACCACATCAGAGGGTCATTGTGAGAACAAGATGATTTGACCTGTGGAAAAAGCTCGGAATAGCTAGTGCCCAGCATGCTGTGAATAATTTATAACAGCAATGGTTACTACTAGCCCGTGATAAACTCATCTGAAGATGAGTTTCTTGAAAAGTAAGTATTGTGCCTGCAAAAATCTGAAAATCTAAAATACATTGAAGGGCCCAGGAGGTAAATGAAAAACTTATTTTTTTCAATGCAAAAATGCTTTGCAGCTGATTTAAATGACAAGTGTGCAGAGCTGAACAAAATTGTAACAAACAAATGTTATCACCAATAGCTCTTTACTAACTTGAGTGGTCTTAAAGCTGCTAGATAGATAGGTTTAAGTTTTTTCCTCCTGTGCTTTTTTTTTTTTTTTTGACTGTGTCCTGTGGCATCTTAGCTCTCAGACCAGTGATGAACCCATGCCTCCTGCTGTGGAAGCACTGGACCACCAGGGAAGCCCCCCTGCCTGTCCTTTCCAAACCTACCTTCTTATGTAATTTATCTAAAGCGGAAACTTTTGTCAATGAAAAAGGAAAGGAGAGTGTTGGACCTTTGTGTTTCCAAGTGCTAGGGGCTGGGAAGGAATTGGGAAGCTGGGTACCCTCGTAAAAACTTATTTTTTTCAATGCAAAAATGCTTTGCAGCTGATTTAAATGACAAGTGTGCAGAGCTGAACAAAATTGTAACAAACAAATGTTATCACCAATAGCTCTTTACTAACTTGAGTGGTCTTAAAGCTGCTAGATAGATAGGTTTAAGTTTTTTCCTCCTGTGCTTTTTTTTTTTTTTTTGACTGTGTCCTGTGGCATCTTAGCTCTCAGACCAGTGATGAACCCATGCCTCCTGCTGTGGAAGCACTGGACCACCAGGGAAGCCCCCCTGCCTGTCCTTTCCAAACCTACCTTCTTATGTAATTTATCTAAAGCGGAAACTTTTGTCAATGAAAAAGGAAAGGAGAGTGTTGGACCTTTGTGTTTCCAAGTGCTAGGGACTGGGAAGGAATTGGGAAGCTGGGTACCCTCGTTATAGTTGCTCAGTCGTGTCTGACTCTGGGCAGCCCTATGGACCATAGTCCACTAGGCTCCTCTGTCCATGGGATTCTCCAGGCAAGAATCCTGGAGTGGGTTGCCATGTCCTCCTCTAGGGAATCTGCCCAAGGGGGACTGAACCCTCTGCTCTGGCCACATCTCCTGCATTCCAGGTGGATTCTTTACTGCTGGGTTTTGCTTTATTCTTAAGCTCAGAAGTATATCTGATTGCTATGAAGAAAGGTTATTTCTTTCTCCTGGACATCACTGGACTGATTTTAACATTTAAAGTGAACCAAGTTGTCTTAGGAAATCCTTACTTGTATGCATTGGAAAATAGTGGAAGTCTCCTTGTGCAGAGGCTCCCGAGGAACGGAAATGCCTCAGGTGATGAGGCAGTCTCTAGGGCAGTGCCAAATGGAGTGGACCTCTGCCAGGCTCATTGGAAGCTGGGGATAATGACTTGGAAAAGAGAGACACCATTAAGTGAATGGAGTTTGCAAATGTTGCTCTAACTAGAGCTATCTATGTATATTGATACAATCAAGAAGGATTTTTTTTTTTTTTTTTTAAGGCAGGGGCAGAGGCCTTAATCAAAATTGAAAGACAATCGGGAAGTCTTTGCAAAATTTGAACCAGTATTTCTGGAGAAGGGAAAACACATGACAGTAGAGTGTGAGTAGAAGATTCTTATGGTAAGAGCTGTTGGGGTAGAAGGTGAGCAAAAAAGCAAGAAGGAATTTCTCTTTATCCAGGGCACCAAAGCTAGAAGGCAATAGCCATGGTTATGGGGATACCTACTGTATCTTGGTATGCTTTCTGGGCTAGCCCTAAAAATTCTATGCGTTCTTGTAACAGTGTCGGCCATAGATGTATTTCACAATATTGATGGAAGGGAAACAGTAGCCCAGGAGGGAACTGAAAGGAAGGGTCACCCATTTGCAACCTCCTGTGTTCTGAGGAACCCTGGGGTTCCAAGGAGATGGTCCTGGTGGGGACAGTTGCCTGTACATTTAAGTCCCAATACTGGCTCCATCCAGCAGTTCCTTAGCTGGGTCACCTTACCTTTGAACCTTTATGTCTTAGTCTATTATATAAGGAGACTAGATCAGATGAGTGGGTTTTGAGTAGTAAAACTTTGTCAAGTGGCACAGAAAGCTGGCACAGAAACCTAATATGTAAAATAAGTAGAGTATGAAATGAAAAGGGGAGGGAGGAAGCGATTGGCTCCCAGTGTCTCATAAGACAGCTATCTTGTCTCTCAGTTAACCAGAAAACCTAGTTAACCAGAGCACTCTGTTTGCTAAATGGGAATCCACCAACTATATTTACTTGAAAGACCGTGAAACTGTGCAAACCCAATTGTGGTTTCATTTATTATTGAAAAGAATGTCAGAGAGTTTTGGAATCACCACAGGCCAAGGTTGAAAACTTATTGAGAAAGGAGTTGTTCTGCCATGGCAAGAGAAAGTTCTGGCTGCCTAATGTTTTATTCCTGGAATAGCAAATTGTGTCTCTAATTTATTTACTTAAGAGAAGACCTGCTGGGGAAGTGGAGAAAACCGTCAAAGTGTATTCTTCGGGCAGAGAACAGAGAGTAAATTTGTGAAATGCTTGGCAGAATGAACCCTGCTGCAGAAATTCCTTATGATAATGATCTTTTAATTTGATTTATACTTCGTCGGGAAGAAACACAGTGTTCAGAAGCTTGCCATTTTAGCATTTGCAAAGAGAGCAGAGAACTAATTTAATATCCACGAACTGGAGATTCACTTTAGAGAAGCATCAGGTCCATTTGTGATGTTTGAGTCAGTTTGCCTCTCAAAGGAGTGGCTTTGTCCCAAACAATTCTCTTACTCCGTCACCAAAGTGTATTGCTTCTGGTTTATTTAGCCTAGTGGCAAGATGCTGAGAGAATACAATCTCTGCTGTTCACAGAAATGAACCTGTGTTGACCCCCAGTAGTACATGAGAGATCACGGAAGCAGAGGTACTTTGAAATTCATCATATTCTGGTACAACGTTCCTCTAAAAGCATTTGAAACCATATGGCCCGCTAGCTACCTGCAGCAATTAATATTCGTAAGACTTTTAAGATTTATCCTTTTAAAATGATTTGTTTTGCCAATTTCTTGCAGCAGTCCCCAACCTTTTTGGCACCAGGACTGGTTTTGTGGAAGACAATTTTTCCATGAACCGGAGTGGTGAGGGGATGGTTCCGGATGATTCAAGCACATTACATTTATGGTGTACTCTATTTTTATCACATCAGCTCTACCTCAGATCATTAGGCATTAGATCCTGGAGGTTGGGGAGCCCTGAGTTAAAGTTTATTTTCTCCCAGATTCAAACTTTTCTTTAGAGAGACATAAGTATACTTTGAAAAAAAGCAATGAAAAAAGAAGTATTAGTCATAAAAATATTCACTTGATAGATCATACTTTTAAGGAAGCAGAGAGAAGAACTAGTATTTCTTGAGGGTCCACTGTGAACATCTAGGTGCCTAATGTGTTTCCTTCTTTAATCCTTCTGATAACCCCAAGAGATGCAGAGATTATCTTCATCCTGCAGAGAGTTTTGCCCATGTTCACATATTAATAGTTCAAGGGCTTCCCTGGTGGCTCAGTGGCAGAGAATCTGCCTGCAATGTAGGAGATGCAGGTTTGATCCCTGGGTTGGGAAGATTCCCCTGGAGGAGAAAATGGCAACCCACTCCAGTTTTCTTGCTGAGTCAATCCCATGGACAGAGGAGCCTGGCTGGCTACGGTCCTTGGGGTCGCAAAGAGTTGGACACAAGTGAGTGGCTGAGCAGAACACCCAGGCACGTAGTTCAAATTGGCCAAAATGGCTTTGGAACCTAGACCCATCTGAAGTGACATTCCATGGTTTTTCCCTTGACTCCAGGGAGGGGCCAAGTGAGATGAGACGTGTTTGTGCTATTGCTTCCTCCTTCAGGCAAGTAGCCAGAGTGTGTTAGTTGGAGGTTCCAGTCCCCTTTCCTTTAATCAAGAGGCTGTTTTTGGAGGCAAGAGTAAGAGAGTGCACGAGATGGGCATGTGCAGTCATTAACTCATTCAGTCTTCGTCCATCGTTCCAGTGTGATGCCGAGCCATACTGGAGTCTGAGAGGCACAGGAAAACTCAGTTATAATGACTCTGTCTTTAGTATTTTGCTCATTATGGAATTTTTTTGCATTAATTTTGGTTTTGCAATATATTGCATGAAAATCTCTTTCATCTGATGCCTGAGTTTTTTGGCGTCCCTTTAAAATTTGCACCTGTGTCCATTGCCTCCCTTTCCCAGCTCTGGTACTTACTTTATGTGCCAGGCAATGAGCTACCTCCTGAGATACAAGATCAAGACACAGAGGAGCTTTCAAACTAGTGAGAGCCGACTGTGCAAACAGTCACAGCACAGCAGGGTAATTATAAGACTACATACAGAAAGTAATGGGGAGGAGCTGGCACTGAGTCAAGGTCCCTTGAAGGAGGGCTTGAGGGAGACCTGAAGGCTGCCTGTGGCTCGGCCAGTGGCTGTGTGGGTGGAGGAGGGATATATGGGGAGTGCTGGAAAATGACAAGTCCTTTCTTGACTCTGAGCCTCAGTTTTCTGCATCTGTAAAATGGAATGGTAGCACCCACTTGATAAGGTTGTTGTCAGGAATGAATGAATGAATGAATGAATTCCCTGTGTTAGCCCAGAGAGTAGATGCTGGTGTGTAACCTGATACTGTGTCTTAGTCATAGTGGTGGTGATGATGATGAAAATAATGCTCCTTATAAGATGACAGTATCTTTAGACCACATACACAGTCTCTGAACTTTGCTTTGCAGACATCCACGACAGCGATGGGAGCTCCAGCAGCAGTCCCCAGACCCCCAAGAGCACAGCCAAATGGGCGTCTTCCCTGGAAAATCTGCTTGAAGACCCAGAAGGCGTGAAAAGATTTAGGGTGTGCCTTTTTCCTTGTTGACCGGAATTGACACCCCACACAAAGTTTAGAAGCCTGTGGGGGGAACACAGGCCAGTTTTTGATACTGTCCATCCCAACTTGAGAGAAAACTTCTCACCTGTCATGACCAATGTGGGCACGCTTTCCCGGGTGGTCATGGACCAGCGCTGAGGGGCTTGCCCCGACTGTGTCTGGTTTATATAACTGGGAGGGGTAGGGGATGGGGAAGAGGTACTGTGCCCATTGGCCGAATCTGCAAAGAATTTCCAGCCCTGTGACACCTAGGATGGGGCGGTCAGGGTCTCCCTGATGTGAAGGCTTGTTCTCTCGTGTGCTGGGGCTTCTCAGGTTACACTGCTCGTAGAGTGAAAGAGGCTGGACAACAGCTGGTAACGTGAAGCTGAACTCAAGGGAGGACAGGCGGATGGGGAAAAGTCAGGACTGCCTAGAAATGGCCTCCAGAAACCCCAGGTGTCTGAAGAACCTGTAAATTTCAAGAATGCCTGTATCTGCCTGAGTCCCACTGACTTCTGTCTTTAGTCCTGGGTCAGACCATCAAAAGCCATCCTGCTGTTGGTTCCCTTTGCAGACTCCAGGGAGCGGGTAGCAGCCACTCCTAGACACGGGCCCTCTGTAAGCACCATCTAGATCTCGGGGAGAAAACTTTTCCGTGCACATTGGGATAGCTGGCTGTGCCACTGACCCCCAACATCTGCCAAAAGAAAGCACACCTCCAACTTAAAATAGTTTTCATTGTGGTGTTTTTAGACGTGCTTAATATGTTTTCTTTTCTTTTGTTTAAAAAAAAAAATGAGCCTGATTTTAGAGGAATGTACTTTGTTTAAACACTGTCTGGAAGGAACTAATATATCTTCCACTTTAATTTACTTTTTGGTAATTTATTGTTAGTTGAGAATTGTTGAGTAGATTCTTGCTTCATTTTTACACTTCTTCACAATGTTAAAACCATTAAGTTCGAATGCATATGAAATTCTAGCTTTAACATTAAGCATAACACTGTTTTGGGGATGGAGCTTTTACAGAGTGAGTGGACATGTTCATTTGTCGAATTTTGACTTATCACTTCTTGAAAGGAAATGCATTATTTGTTTCTTTGTTTTTTAAGTAGAATACTGTTTGATATTTTTTTCTTCTCTTCATCCATAGGAATTTTTAAAAAAGGAATTCAGTGAAGAAAATGTTTTATTTTGGCTAGCATGTGAAGATTTTAAGAAAACACAAGATAAAAAGCAGGTACTTCTTTCACTCTGTAACTGTGTTCTTGCCAACTTTTTTTCTTTCCTTATAAAGTTACAATTACCTTTCCAATAAATTTTGAAATTGCCAACAGAAATCCAAACCATATTGGATTTGGGGTAGGATTTAAGATTCAGAATAGCCTATCTTGTGTTGATCAAATATTAACAATTTTTAAAAGAGTGTGTTAATCTGTTTTCAAATGGAGCTGTTCAAATGAACAAATATTTAAAGTAAAAATAACGATTTAAGTCACTGAGAGTCTGTCATCGAGTATGATTTTTTTTCATGAATAATTTATGTGAATGCTCCCTCCAGGGCTTGACATGTTGGCGTTTTGTATGGACATCGTAAAGCAGATGCGTGGTGATAAAAGCATAAGGCGCATCAGATGGATTGTCAATTATTCAATATATCTTTACAAAACATCTTGTAGTTGGCAGGGATCCCACATAGAAAGTTTCTGACTGTTCTCCTGGGTGAATATGTGCTCTTTGCAGGAGGCAGTCTTTAATTCCAATGTCAGCTGGATTTTCTGCCACTGAAGGTTGGGTGTCAGGGGAGGTGGAGGAGATTCTGGGCAGGGATGCTTGAGGATTGGGTGTGTTTACAAGGCTCTTGCTTGTGTCTTTCTAAGAGGCTCATGGCTAAATGCCTACATGTGTGTGTGCTAAGTGCTTCAGTTGTGCCTGACTCTTTGCAATCCTATGGACCTATGGCCCACCAGTCTCCTCTGTCCATGGGATTTTCCAGACAAGAATACTGGAGTGAGATGCCATTTTCTTCTCTAGGGGATCTTCCGGTAATAATGTGCATGAAGGAGGTTTTTGGTGTGAGGCTGTAGGGAGTGGTGGGGATTGGGGCATTAGGGGGTGGCCTGTCCTGCCTCCAGTGGCTGGTTGTTTAGCTGACTTCAGCAGCAAATGCCTTGGGGTCTGTGGCTGCCTGAGCTTTCCCTGCCTTGGGTTCTACCCACCTAGGTCTTCGCTGAGGGACCTTGCTTCTTAGGGCATCTTCTCCCATCTTTAGTCCAACCGCTGCCTGTTTTTCCAGAGAAGCTGGACGTTTGGATTCTTATGTGAAACCATCCAATCTTATAAATGATGGAACTGATTTTTTTTAAATGTGAAACGTTTCCTGCCAAACAAAACATAGCCATGGGCAGATGTGGCTTGTGGGCTGCCAGTTTTTAAGCCTCTGGCTCCAAAAAGCTGGAATCCATGAAGCCAGAAGCCATTACGTGTTTGCAGAAAATATCTGTCATTGGTTTATTCAAAGGCTTTTCTGCCTCAGACACTCTTTCCCCAAGATGGAGTGGTGTGGCCTTTGTTCCATGCCTTCCCTTCTGCAGGGGCAAGGATAGACGGATTCTGAGATTCCTGGAGCTGGATTTCCCAGGCCAGCCCAGAAAGCCATCCTGGGCATGATCCTTGACATCGGCTTCCTTCTTGCTTCTCCCCACTGGATGACTTTGCCTGGGCCCTTTGGGCTTTGCTGGTGGCTCAGACGGTAAAGAATCTGCCTGCAATGCAGGAGACCCGGGTTGCATTCCTGGGTCAGGAAGATCCCCTGGAGAAGGGAATGGCAGCCCACTCCAGTAGTCTTGCCTGGAGAATCCCCACAGATGGAGGAGCCTGGTGAGCTACAGTCCTGGGGTGGCAAAGAGTCAGACACGACTGAGTGACTAGCACTTGGGTGATGTCTCACCCATTGCTCTCCTTGGCCGCCAGCACCCAGCCCAGAGCCCAGGGGCCACTGTTGACGAATGCTGACCTGGGCCATGGATTCATCTGGCCTCACCCTAAAGCCCTAGGTCAGAGTCAAGCATGACAGATGGACAGATGGCCACTCTCCTGCCTCAGTGTGCGTGATGGAGGTGCGAGGGGCTGGCCAGTCAGCCGGCCGCTCCTCTATATGCAAACGGGGCAGCGGAGGTCCCTGCACGGCTGAGCTGGGACTTGAACCTGCCTCCTGAGCCTTCCAGGTGTCCCTGCCCGTGATGCTGACATGCCCTTCCTTTCGGTCGAGTTTGCCAGACCTTTGTGGCGCATCTGCTCAGGGCCGGGCCTTGTGCAAAGCATGGGTGCCACGCAGGGACGGGACAGCCGAGCCTCTTTAGGGAACAGGCCCTGAGAGCGGAAGCTCCCTGTTCGCCAAGCCTTTGCAAGTGCGACGAACCCAGAAACGGGAAGTGCAGGTTCCGTGGGAGCACAGGCAGTCGGTGTGGGGCAGGCCTCTGGGGAAGTGACTCTTCAGCTGACATCTCAGTAGAGTTTGGGGATGGGGGTGAGGTTGGGGGTGGGCGGAGTGTTCCCAGAAGAGGGCACAGCCTGTGGGGAGGAAGCCCTGGAGAGAAGAGCTGAAGGCAGACCTGGGGGGAGGCGGGCAGGAGGCTCGTGTTCGGGGGCGGGCTGGCTTCGTTGTGCCTGTTTGCACGTTGTGCTGGGAGGGAGGTGGGGTCACGGTCGGAGAACCCCGAGTGCCAAGGTAAAGACTGGAAAGCCACAGGGTTGGAGTGCACGGGCCCATCCAGCTCCGACAGCCAGAGCTTCCAGAATCCCGCAGCCCCTCTCTGCACCCCCAGCCCTGACACCCAGAGTTTGTGTCCTGAGGCCTGGACGTTGCTTCAGGGCAGTGCCTCACCCATCAGCTGCCTGAGGATGTGGACGGCTCTGGGACAGACGGAGCGTCCCATCCGGGAGGCCCATGGAGTCCACACCTCCTTCCCGGTCATCACACTCAGCGTCCTGACCGTTCCCCACCCCTCCCAGATACCGGGGCTGCGGTCTGAGAGGTTAGGCTGTGGCTCGCCCACGGCCCCCCGGGCTCGGTGCAGACAGCAGGGAATGTAGCCCGGCTCTCTGCTCCAGACCGTCTTGCGGGTCCGGCCGCAGGGAAGTAAAACCAGAACTAAGTTCTGCTTCACTAATTTTAAGATGCGGAGGAGGACATGGCCCAGGGAGAAGTCAGCCCAACTACATTTCACAATCGGACTCATCCCGTCTGAGCCGGCAGGGAGTTTGTTGACTGTCTGTCTCTACTGTGAGCTAAGGCAGTTGCACGATGGAGGCTGGTCTCACCTTGGCCTCGGTTTAAATTGGACCTGTGCTGGGTGCTGATTTCGTCCTTTTACTATCATGATCCAGCCAGATGCCTCCATAAGCTCTAACCAACTTGCCTGGTACCTTATATTTATTTATCTCCTGTTCAGTTTGCCTTTCCCTCTATCATGAGGGCTCTCTAGGGCTGGCGAGCTTTGTCTGTCTTCTGTGCCAAGCCTAGGACGGTGCCTGGCTCACTGGGTCCTCCCTGATCTCCACTCGGGTCAGCTGACCCCTGAGAACCCGCACTGGGCAGGATCGTGGCCTCCCTGCTCACCTTGAGCTGCAGTCACAGTCTTAGGGGTAGACTTGAGAAAGGGGCGTGCTGTCTGTTCTGCTGGGGTTTGAACTCTCAGAAACTCCAGACAGTGGACCCATACTGTGCCTTCACTGCCTTCCCTGGTCTGTGCTTCCCTGGCTGGCAGGAAAGCAACCCTTTAGTTTGGGAGGGTCTCAGAGCTCTGTATTTATGATGGGGGGTGCTGGGGCTTTAGGAAGTTGGGAGGTGATGCCTGCCCCGCTCCTGTCTCAGGGTTCCTGGGGGTTGTAACTTCCAGGTGTTCCTATTCCGCAGACAGCTTTCAGAGCCATTCTTTCCCTTGGTGATTTCCTTATGGTTTGACATTTTTCTATAAACGGCCTCTTCCCCGCGAGTTAGCATGGGAGATACATCTACCTTCTAACACAGAGCAACATTCATGTCTTATAAAACCTCTGAAAAAGCTCCAAGAAGGTGTTTGTTCTTTGGCTCTCCCTCATTCATTCATTCATTTTTACTCATTCATTCATCAGCACATGCATAAAGGGCCTATTTACTATGTGACAATGATTGAAATGGATACAGCAGCTCCTACAGATTTGTAATAACCAAACTCAGTGGGGGTGGGGAAGTGGGGTGGTGCAAGGTTTCTAATAATCAAAGCTCTGAGAGTGACTTGCACTGGTATTTAAATGTAACAAACAGTACCTTGCCTTTTTATAGTGGTTTAGAGTTAACCAGTACAGAGGGAGGGATCTGTAAAAGAAACGTGAAGTCGCTAAGTTGTCTCTGACCCTTCGCAACCCCATGGACTGTAGCCCACTAGATTCCTCTGTCCATGGAATTTTCTAGGCAAGAATACTGGAGTGGGTTGCCATTTCCTTCTCCAGGGGATCTTCATGTTTATTAATTTTATTATATTTAACACTAAAACTTGATCCAGGATTTTAGTGTTTGGCGTTCTTATTTAAAGTAATCCTAAAAGTCTTCCTAAAAAGACTAACACATCAATCTTCTTTATTAAAAAATATATATATATATATTAGTTAAAGATCCAAAGATGCTCCTTATATGAAACTCATTCACTTCACAAGTGGATGGAGTACGAAGGTCTCGTTCCCGTCAGCCCTCAGGAGCCTCTAGCTTTCCCTCTTTCTCTGGTTTGGGCTGTGTCTGACCTTCGGTATGGACTTGGCCGGGTCCAGGCAGGAGTGGATAGGAGCTCAGCAGCTCACAGTGTGGTCTGGGGCCTGGTGCGGCCTGCCCTGCATCTCCACCCCATCCTGGCTCACTTCATCATTCTCTGATATCCTCTACTGATGTCTTTTCACCATTATTATGAGTTGCTACTTACTTTATATCCCTGTCTACGGCATTTTCATTATTAAAACTTTATTGTTCACTGCTGAGCCCAAGAGGATGCTACGATTACATTTTTTTTCTTCTTGGATCATTTTTTCAAAAAAAATTATTTATTTATTATTTATGGCTGCGCTGGGTCTCCTTGCTACTCGTAGGCTTTCTCTAGTTGCCGCAGGTGGGGGCTACTCTCTTCTTGTGGAGTGTGGGTCCAGCAGTTGTGGAGTTCAGACTTAGTTTCCCCGAGGTACGTGGGATCTTCCCGGACCAGGGATCGA